GGCGCATGCGCTTGCCAGACAGACAGAGAGAGACAGAGAGACAGAAAGCGAGAAATCACCCCCCAGGGGGGATGGTCACGTCGCAATCCCTTCTCCTCCATTCTCCTCTCGGGATCTTGGGCACGCACGCACACGTGCCTGGCGTGAGTTTAAGCCACTGGGTCCGGGACACAAACCGTGGTCAACTACTTGGGAGTCCAGTGACATAGCCATTACGCTAACTGCTGGTTCCCATGGGGCAGGCAGTTTTCTGAGCGCCCTCTGCTGGGCATGCAGGCCGCTGGCGGTGGGTGCTGTGGGTCCCCACTGCCTTCGCTGTTCCTTCCTCTGGTCCTCATATCAGAGTCACCATCTGCTGACCGCTCCCTGTGACTGGCATGTGACATGCCTTACTGCATTTAACTTTTGCCACCTCTAGGAAGCCAGCGTGCTCATCCCACTTTGCAGGTGTGGAACCTGAGGCACTGAGAGGTGAACAGACTTGCCCAAGGTCACACAGCCTGTAAGGAGGAAAACATCTGAGCTCAGGCATCCTGACCCCCAAATTCCAGACATGGTGTGGTTAAATTTGGGACCAGCAGTTAGCGTAATGGCTATGTCACTGGACTTCCATGTAGTCAACCACGGTTCAAGTCCTGGACCCAGTGGCTTAAACTCATGCCTGGCGCGTGTGCATGCATGTCCAAGATCCTGCGAGGAGAATGGAGAAAGGATTGCGGCATGGCCATCCCCCCTGGGGGGTGATTTCTCGCTTTCTGTCTCTCTGTCTCTCTCTGTCTGTCTGGCGAGTGCATGCGCCCTATAGCAAAAACCTATCCCCTCCCCCCCAAAAAAAGTGGTTAAATCCATGAGCTTTGGTGTCACATGCCTGAGATGGAATCCCAGCTCCGCGTTAAGGTTACCCTATCTCTTAGGAGAATCATGACAGCAAATGAGACCATGGTTGTCACATGTTCATAACAATGACTGGCACAGCTCTGTGGACCCTGGTTTATATCTCGACTCTAGAACTTGATAGCTGTGTGACTTTGGGCAAATTACTTAACCTCTCTGAGCCTCAGTGTCCTCACTTGTAAACTGGGAACAATAATCATATCTATCTCAGGATTTTTAAAAAAATAATTATTTAATTTATTTTTATTCATTTATTTTAATTTGACCAGAGAGGAACAGAGAGAGAGAGAGAGAGACAGGAAGAGAGAGTGAGAAAGCAAGCGGCCGGGTCCAGGACTCCAGCTGCAGTCAGGTATATGGAAGTCCAGCCCCTTAACCATCATGCCACCTGCCGGCCCCAGGATTGTTTTTTTTTTTTTTGGAGAGGTTTTTGCTATAGGGCGCATGCACTCGCCAGACAGACAGAGACATAGAGACAGAAAGTGAGAAATCAACCCTGAGGGGGGATGGTCACTCCACAATCCCTTCTCCTCCATTCTCCTCCCGGGATCTTGGGCATGCACACACACGCGCCCGGCATGAGTTCTAAGTCACTGGGTCCGGGATGCGAACCGTGGTTGACTACGTGGGAGTCTAGTGACATAGCCATTATGCTAACTGCTGGTTCCCCCCCAGGATTGTTTTGAGATTTATACCTGCACAACTTATTATTTTATTTGCTGTTTTTTCCTGTTTTTTTATTTTAAGGATGATACGCTTAAACAGAAAGCCATAACTGATCTGTTGACCCTCTGATATCAGCTATGAACACGTATCCATGTTTTTCTTTTATTTTATTATTATTTTTTTTAATTGCCAGAAGGAATGTGGGTTTGCTACACAAGGGAGAGAGACAGAGAAAGCACCCCTAATGGGGCGTGGCCACGCCACTACCCCTTCTCTTCCGGGTCTCTCTCCTTTCAGGATTTGGGGCATGTACTTACTCATAGCATTGTTTTCTTTTCTTTTTTTCTTTTTAATTTGCTGCAGGGTGCATATGTGTGCTTGCTAGCCAGAGGCAGAAAGAGAGGGAAAGTGAGAAAGTATCCCCCATGGGGGAGGTCCATGTAATAATCCTTTCTCCATTTCTTTTGAGTTTGGGCATGCATGCACACACACTCAGTGTGTTTTTCAAGCCACTAGTGCAGGAATTCAAACCACTGTTGGCCATGTGGGATCCAACACCCTTAACTACTAGGCTCTGGGTGTGGGGGACTGAGCATGTTTTTCTGGGCAGACGCCCTGGGGCTACTATCAACTCTCAGAGGGCCCTGGTGCAGGGTGCTGCCTTGTAACGGGAAGGAGTCTTCCTGTCCCTCTCTGCTGAGCTTCTCACACCCCACTGGGTCCACAGGGTGGCCTGGGAAGCTGAGGCCTGAGAGGAGCTATGACATCAGATGGCTGTAAGGCCCTTAGGGCCAGCCCCTCCCCTCAGTTGTCCTCAGCCTCCTTCTAGAAGGGCTCCAGATGACTGGAATTCACTTCCTGCTGGTGACCTCCTGGGGGAGGGAACTTAGTGAGCCTGGCTTGAAGCTGGGGGAGGTATGGCATCCAGGGTAGGGCAGTGTCCGCGGGCAGTCCTCCCACCAGATGTCTGTGGGTGTACATGAGGGCAGGGATCGCTGTTACACAGGGACGGAGATGGGCCCAGGGCAGTGCCAGGGACTAGCCCAGGCTCCCGACCCTAGAGCTCATAGTTTAACCATCACACGGCTGCCTTGTCCAACACCAGCTCTCCTTCCTCCAGCCAGTGTCTGGTCCAGATGTTGTCACCCGGGAGAGGGTGTGCCAGGAAGCAGGGTGAAGGCAGCTGTCTGGCGGCAGAGGCTGGCTGGGGTGTGGTCTGGGCCTCAGTTTCCCCATCTGAGCAATGACAAGTTGGATTTGACTTTTGAACTGTTTTTGCTCTAAGATCCTGATTCTGGGGAAGTCACTGGGGTCAGAGAGGCTCTCAGAGCCTGGAGTAGGTAACATTGAACGCAGAGAGGTGCTTTGGTCACCCTGCGAGGCCTCAGTTTCCCTGTCGGTACAATGGGAAGTCTGAGCAGTTCGAACTTTCACTTAGCAGATCTCTTTCTTCAAATGAGATGCTATCGGGCAGCCCAATGCACAAAGCTGCCTGCAGCAGTCCGACTCTGGAGCCAGCCTAGCTGGGCTCCAATCCTGCACTAGACCTTGGGCCAGTCCCTGAGCTGCTTAGCACCTCAGTTTCCCTGTCAGCTAAATGGAGGAAGTCATGGCAACAATCCTCTAGCGTGGGGGCCATGCATCTCACTACACAGGACGTGAGGCGAACAGCCTCTGCTGGGGCCCCTTACCCACGCCCTCCCACTCCCGTCCCGGCTCACCCAGT